GACTGGTGCCTTTGCTGCCCCCCCGCTCCGAGTCCCAAGGGGCCCTTTGTTTCTTACCTTCTCGTTTCTTACCTGTGCTGTAGTGCTGGCCTCCCCATGGCTTTCAGGTTCCCAATGCTCTCCTTCTTCAGGCTGGGCTGTTCTTGTGGGTGCCACATGGTTTGGTGGTCCACAGCTTCCCCCGCCCTCATCTTCCCCTCCCCCCTTATCACAGAATTTAGGCTTTTTCATTTATTCACTGGTTCTAAAGATCAGTGAGCTATTGCAGAATTGTACTTGGTTCTGCAGAGTTACTGAACTTGTAAGAGGGTATCCCCCTTGTGTGTTTAAAATAGGTGGATTTAAGGACTCATTCCTGAAACTTTAAGTAGTTCAATACACACACTAGAGACTCAAAACCTACAAAAGCCAGGTTAATTGGTCTGTTTTTCACTACTACCTTATTCTTGCACAGCTGGGCAGCACTCTGGATAGAGCCTTTTGTATGTGATCAACACTACGCATGCAACATATGTTAAGTAATTATGCAAATTCTAAGTTTCAGATGTAGTATAGAATTGATATGTATGTTAGGGGATGATAAAAGGACTTATGAAGAGATCATGAAAATTAATACATGTTCAAGAAATCATGAGTGATCCTCCAGATACTTACAAACGCAACTTCTTACAGTTCAGTTAATGAAACTACATACATACACTACTGTATTTGGTAACAGAGCCTTGTAATGTAATGGCGGACTTAAAGGTTGTCTTCGTATCATGTACCTTGCAATAGTATCGATCTCCAATGTACGTTGTAGGAAGGTTATACCTTAAATGGTTAATTTGACCAACATATAACATGCCACTACACTTTATTTATTTATTTATTTATTTATTTATTTTTATTAACTACCAATTTTATATGCTTAAAGATGAAAATGACTTGTGGAATAGCATGCTCATGATGGAGCATTATGTAATTAAAAATATGCAATTCTAATGCAAATCTTAGCACTGTTAGATCTTATCTTTCTGCTATATCAAATTTAAAACTTTTAATGCAAGTGCATGAATGGGGTTTTTTTTCTCTTTAAAAATAGTACTTTGCAAGATACTGTACTTTTAAGGAGCTTTATCTCCCTGAGATTTAATCAAAATTGGTTTTGCTGCCTTTTGAGCTCTTTCCTGTCCTGTGACAAGGGAGAAAAAAGTCAATTTTTCCCTTTCCCAACTGATGGTATAAATTAAAAAAAAAAGGGAAAGAACATTGCAGAAAGAATGGGCCAGAAAAGAGCTTGGGTAAGTCAGTTTCAGAAGCTATAACCCACATTGCCTTGTGGGTACTCCTTGGTTGGAGAAAAGCTAAGGGACATCCCCATAACAGAAAGACAACCTCATTGGGGCATTAGGCAGTCAGCAGCGGTTCTTATCTGTTGCAGTCTGGCAGAAGTTGAAACCATTGAGACACTGAGGTCTGGGACACATTGCATAAACTGGTTTGAGACAAATCAGTTAAGTATGATCCTACATTCAGCGAGGTTTATCTCAAACTGGTTTCAGCTATTTTCAAACTGGTTTATATGTACTGAACTTCTGTTGTGTTACAGGTTTAAACCAGTTTCTGATCACTGAAACCAGTTAGTGTAATGTCTGTCCCTACACATTGAATGTCTGGATTCAGTTTGGCCTTTGGATTCTGTCTCAGTGGCCTAAAGTGGGGGTGATGCATCCTGGGCAGCCTCCATTCCTCCATACTCTTGCCTAGGCATGTGCGCTGAAGGACTTGATGGTGATGGTTGCAAGACTCCATATAAGTGGATTCATTGGGCACCTGACTAGACCTCTTAACCAAACACCATGATCCAGAGGATTGATGGTTGCTTACACAGAATAGACTGTTGGATTTTTCCCGTAGGCACTCCCTCTTCCTCCACAGCTTATTTAGCTTCTATTTGGTGGGGTCGGAATATGTTTTTTTGGCCTTGTCTTCCTGAGTAGTGTGAAAAGTGTTTGAATACATTTATTCCTTTTTCTGCTACAATCAGCCTTATGATATGAGCCAACAAAGCACTTACTAATGTAATGTATTTAATTTTTACTGTGGTAGTTCTGTTGATTTGCATTCGATCCTCTCTAATTTATGCTTGTCCAAAATGGATACTTCCAGAAAAGGTTGATCATGAACTTGGTGTATATGTATTTTTATATCTATATATCTATAGATATAAAAAAACCAAAACAAACTTTTGAAAGAGAGGAAATAAGGCAGTTATTACCACTTGGAGCACACTGACAGAGTAATCTCTTGATCCAGTAAAGTAAATCCTTCAGTATTTGGCTTGTGCTTAAATAGTGTGGTTGTTTTGAGACCTTAATTTGTGTCTAAAAGTATATGCTGTCTGTCCTTTGCTCATGATGATATAAATAAGGAAGAATGGCTATTCTTAGAGGCTGGAAATATAATGTTGATGAGGTCCATATATGTCCAGCTTTTCATTTGTGTATATAGAAGAAGGGGAAAAACCTAGAGGCAATTAAACAAGAAGAGAAGTTAGATTTAAAAACTAAATCACTAAAGAGGTTATATCTAGGTAAAAATATCTTCACTTTGTGGTTCCTAAAATAAATAAAGTGACTTGACAGTACAGTAATAAGGTGTCTTATGCTCAATAAAATGACTGGTTTAATATTAAATATTTAATATAAACATAAGGCATGTTTCCAATGCTTGAGTTAATACTTGCATAAATATGCATTTTGACCTGTCTGTCTTTCTCATAACTATTTTCTTTACAGATAGCTACTCAAATCTCTGTGCTGATTGCTAAAGTTGCGAGATTGGACTGTCCTAGGCAGTGGCCAGAACTTATTCCCACTCTTCTAGAATCTGTGAAAGTTCAAGATGATCTTCGGCAACACAGAGCATTATTGACCTTCTATCATGTTACTAAGACACTGGCATCCAAACGACTTGCTGCAGATAGGAAACTTTTTTATGATGTAAGCGGTGTTTTTAGTAATATATTAAGTTATATTTTGAAACCTCAGTAGAAAAACAGAAATACCATTTTCCATGCTTGCTTATTACAGTTTGTGAGTGTGAGTAAATGGGAAGTGCATTGATTTTAGTATTTTAGTGGTTTGGGGGGGGGGGGTTTGCAATCTTAATCCTCCTTTAACAGGTTTTTTGTGTGTAATATACTAAACTATCTAAAGTCAGTTTGTAGGGGAAGAGTCCTTGAAATTGTATTTGCTAACTGTGGTAACTTTAAATTGACAATTTTCAGCATCTGAGATTTAATCTCTATCTGATTAGGATTTGGGTGTCCTTGTGCTAGATAGACACTCTGTACAGACAATCTGTACATACCAGTTTTATTCAAATTGTTTAGCTCTATTATTGTTTCATACAATGGATCACATGATAAATATATTTGTATTATATAAATGTGGTCTTGATTCATATTTCTATATTGCTTTTTGTGAAGGCTCATTCTTATTTCTCTCATAATTCAATAATCATTATGCTTTGATTAGAATATCAGCTATACTCTTTTGAGCTATGTACCTTTATGTTAGCTGAAGATCTTGAAATTGGCGTCTCTTCTCTCTAAATTAAGTAGATAAATAAATAAGCCTATATTAAAATAACAGGTCTGAATAAAACTGACATCAGGCCTTAAGCAATTACCCTTTCTATTATAGTGCTGGAGTGATGTTGTAGCTATGATGGTCCAGGTAATCAGGTGGTGGTCAGGTTCACATGATCTGAAGGTTGTGAAGGTTACCTGAAGAAGAATGCACTGAATTTGAAAGCTTGTCTAAGTCTATTCCAGCTATGTGGTTGGACCAATAAAAGAGATCACCCACAAAAATCCTTCCCCCTCACAACTTTCCATTATAGAATTTTTTTTATAGACTATAGATTTATGCTGTTGGCTATAGACTAGTGCATCCTTACATATTTTAGACCGTAGGCTAGGGTGTAGTATGTTTTAAAAACACTTTCTGGCACAGTTAGGCTTAAGGATGTTATAACACCATCAAGAATGGTATTAAAGTTTCAAAATTCATAATAGATAATCCATTAATGTTTAGGTTCACGTAAAAGGAAAGATTGATTTAAGTTGTAGATTCTTTAAAATCATGCTTTAAATCTGAAGTTACTGATTTATAATATTTTACATGTGCAATTTTAAGATATGTTCTAAAAGAAAAGCTTATTTTTTGTTTTTGGTATAATTGGGTGCTATTATCTTTGCTAACATGGAGAATACATTATTCTCAACACATTTCTTTAAGCAATTATTGAGCTTTTATTGTATGGTTATTATACAGTTCTTTTCATTTGCAATTTTGTAATGTTAGGAAATGATTAATGGTACATTCCATTTATAATATATGAAGATTAATTTGGACTTCTATCAGTCTGTCTTTGGATGGAAATTGGAAATCAATTAATTCAGGGGTTTTCAACATTTTTGGATCAGTGTATCCCCAGTGGCTGGGTGTGGAGCAGGGGGCAGGTGACGGCGTGTGGCTGGACACATAGCAGGGGGTGGGGGGATGGCATGCGGCTGGATGTGGAACATCTGTATTAATTTTGAATTACTCGCTGATCATGAACTGTATGTTGTTTTCCATTCATGTAGCCACGAATATGTTTCTTCAAGTGGCTCCATTGTATCAATGGGATCATGTTGCCAGATATTAGGAAGTTGGTTGCAAGTGAAAACATACACATAATGAATATAATGTTCATTTCTTAACTTTCGTTCAGTGCAGTGGCTAGCTTCTTTGTGTATGCCTATCGTGTCCACTGGGCATGTGTAATCAGCTATCAAGTAACAGAGTGCAAGTGTGGAAATGTGTACTGTTATTGGGTTGGCTTCTTCCGTGTATTGTTACGGGCACTAACTTTATATTTTGTCATCTTCACTTGTACTCTGAAAGAAGGTGTGGGGTCCAGTGTCACTCCCAGGAGTCTGGATTCCAAGAGTGGGAGACAAGTTGTACCCTGTTCTAGGTTGTGTCAGGTTGTTCATTAGCTTTGTGATTGGGAGTTGAAAAAGACTAATTTGCATGTTGACTTGATTGTCACATGATTGCTTTTTATTTTAGTAATCTGAGAACCCAGAGAGCACTGATGCAGATATAATTTTTAGCTTTGACTTAGGTCAAGTCCTTGGGTTGTATGGTAATGCATCTACACCAAACATAAAACACTTAAGATGGCAACAAGTCATCTGCATAGATGGAAAGAGTCCGTCTTGTCCCAGGATGAATCAGTTAGTGATTCATGTAGTTATCAAATCGTATAGGCACAACTCTGCTGTTGGCCCTGCTTCTTGCATTATTATACATTGAATTGCTGGTTTAATAATAAAGATTATATCAGCCATGCTACATGATGATCTTTTGCCATGCTCTGTAATGGCAGAAAGCCTCCAGTGATGTGTAGTGTTGTATGCTGCTGACAGATTTGCACATAGAGTGCCTGTGACCATGCCCTTTCAAAGGCATCTTGTAGATGTTGAGTGATGTTCAGTATTTGGGCATGGTCATGGTTGACTTTCCTGGGTAAAATCTAGCTTGGTCTGAGAGAATGTGCTGTTTAACAAAAGGTGATAGCTAGACAAAATGAAGTTTTTAAGAATACGTTAGACAAAGGCTTGTCTAAGATGATTTAGATAGGGATAATCCTGTCTTGAGCAGGGGGTTGGACAAGATGGCCCTCTGAGGTCCCTTTCAGCACTATTTTTTTTTTCTGTGATTCTATATACTGAACAGTTAGAGAAGCCAGGCCTTGGTCATTAGTCAGAAGTGTTTTATGTTTGGTGTAGTTGTCTAGACCAGGGTGGGCAATTATTTGGGCTGCAGGCCACTTAAGGAGCTTTGGCAAGCTTTTGAAGGCCAGGGAGGGGGTGCTGACCAGACATTGGCCCCCCCATCACACTGCCTGTCAGGAGGGTGGTAGGGGTGCAGGGAGATGCCAACTGATCCTATCTGGCCCCAGGCCCATCTACCCTGCACCAGGCCCTAGGCCTGTCTGCCTTGAGCTGGGCCCCGGCCCTGCACTGTTACCACCCCATGATCCAACCCCAGCCCTGGCTTCGTCTACTTGTCCCACTGCCATATGCCACTCTCCATCCACCTGTGGCACCACCCTGTCTGCCTGGCCCAGCGTGCCCTGCCCACGGGGTCACAGGCTGGTCTCCATGGAGACGCTCCTTCTCTGTCCAGCCGTGGTTGTGGGGCAGGCAGGCCAGGGTGCTCAAGCAGCAGGGCTGGGGCTAACAGTGGTGATGAAGATGCTACCAACAGCAATCAGAAGTGTGAGGGCAGAGTGAGTCACTGCCGCAGGAGCTGTCGGGAAGCTGAGTCCAGCCACCATACTTCTCCCGCCTCATCACCATGTGGCCTGGCTTCACAGCCTGCAGCTTCCGGCTTTCCTGAGAGCCACGGCAAGGGACTGGGTGGACTGTGCTCTGCACCCACCTTGCTGGGGTCATCTGACCCCAGCAGTCTTTCCTGCCCAAGTGTAGAGGGGCTAGACCCAATAATCTGTAAGGTCTCTTCCAGCTCCTAACATCTATGAAACCAAGCGGCACTTCCACACACGGGGTGGTGAGACTGGCTGCATGTGCCATGGCCTGGGCTGCCCCCATAGTGACTGGGCTAGGCAGAGCTGAAGAACCCACCACAGGCCGAATCTTTCCTGCAGGCTATATTTGGCCAGCCCAGTCTAGACTGATGGGTTTACCATTCTTGAGAGTTTATTCCTAAAGTTAGTTTGGCCATTGTGTCCTGTGCCCCAAGCTGATTTATCTCCTAGTAGTCTTTTGCTGAATTTCATTTGGGTTACTTGTTTGATGCTCTACTGCTCTCCTGGGGTTGATGTGCCACCTGGTCTAGAGTGATACTGTAATGTCCTTCTGCCTTTCTTGAGTCACAGGTAAGCTTTTATATAGTTGTCCAAACTTTATTGCTGTTGTCGATTTATGTCTGTGCCCCTATGATGTTCTGCTATAACTTCGATATTTTTCAATCATTGAAGAGGCTAGTTCTTAACTAGGGTGGTTTTCTCAGCAATTAGTTAAGCTTCATACACCCATTTTTTGATTTTTGTGTACTGATAGAGTTCTTGGGTATTAGTTCTGAAATATTATATGTTTTGGTGCTTTCTTTATACTGCTTTGATGAATTATTTGTACTTTTCTTGAGCTGGTGCAGTCTTTCGTATTGCAGCATCAAGGCTTTTGGTAAAGCCTTCTCAGCTTGCTTTTATTTATTTATTTATTTTTAAATTAAAATGTCATTCAGAGGGTTTGATCTGTAGGATAGCTGGCCTATACTGTGAGTGTTGGATAGAATCCATAATAACTTTGCACATTTAAGCAATGTTGTTGCTGACAAACACTGGCTGAGGTTAGCAGCCTTGTTTTCATCAGCCTCATTAGGAGCTTTGAGTAGTGCATTGTGTTTTAACCCTAACTGCCGGTATGGCTATTGAAACCTGGAATAATAACCTGATTGACTTTGTACGAGTTTGTAAAATGTGTACCTTTTGTTTGATGGCTTGTATACAGACATGATGGGAATGATACTGACATCACTGAATTGAGCTTGTTGAATAAATTAAAATGAAGAAAATATTCTGTGCACCTGCCAAAGAGGCTGGTTGCCAAAATCTGGTTTGGTACTTCTGCAGATTGATCCTGGGTGGTTTGCTAATGACTGCCATTGTTGCAGAAGGCATACCACTGAAAACTTTGGTAGCAAACATGTACTACCTAAATATTATTTTTATCTAATGCTCATGTTTTGAATTAGGGGTGCACTGATATACCAGTTGGCTTTTGTATCAGCACTGATAAAAGGAGAAATGATGTTATCAGCTATCAGGTTTTTTCGGTTGTTGTAGCCGATAATTACAGCTGTGTGTCCAGAGCACCCTGGCAAGCATAGTCTGGTCACTGTGCCTTGCTGCTGGCCTGGGCCTGCAGCAGAATACAGGTCCTGCCAAGCAGCAGGAGGCGGATGCAGCACCGGGGAATAGTCACAGGGCACCGCGCTCAGCAACAGAGGAACCGTTACTGGCTCCTGGTGCTGCTGCTGTCCCAGCAATACTGCGCATGCAAAAGGGGCCTGAGCTCTGGGGCTGCCACAGAGATGTTGGGCTGTGTGTGGGTGGTGTAAGGCATTGCACGAGGGACATTCCAGTCCACCAGGCACCTTTGCAAAAGTGGCTTCTCCTTGGTGGCTTGGCTGCAGGAGCTTGGCCGCATGGGGCCTGCTGGCGCTGAGGCAGTGGTGTGCTTTGGGGCTCCAAATGTGCCCGAAGCCACTGTCCACATGAGGGTCTGCCCTGCCCACCTGGAATGGCAGCACAAGCTGTGGAGGGGATGGGGCTTATAGGTAGGAGCCGTGGGTGAGGTGGCAACTTGCGTGGGAATAAGGCGGTCAGTGCCTTTCTCATTGAGGGCCGGAGCAGGCAGGAGGGGTGTGTGCATGCGCGCATGTGTTAAATGCAAAACAAACAAAAACCCATTTATGTCAGTAGTTTAAAGTGCCTTGCACTATTACTAAATGTTGGTTATCAGATTGGCATTGGCTGACATGGTTGGTTAATCATTGGCTGTTGGTATCGGCCAAGAAAATCTTTATCAGTGTATCCCTAATTTGAATGGATATAGTATTTTTAATCCTTGCATTAAGGATGTGTCCAGCCAGCGTGCTGTGGGATGGAAAAGGTTGGGAAACGCTGCTCCGGAGCATACAGTGTTCAGAACTGATAGTACTGTTAGTACACGTGTGACAGGGCATGGCACTTGAGGTCATTTCCCTCAGTACGCCAAAGCTGGCACGGGCTCTGGTCAGCTGTTGTTGGCCACAGAGTTTGGGCTGCTCGCAGCAGGCAGCTAGGAGACTGCAAGCCCTGCTGCAAGTATCCTGGACTCCATGGCAGGCAGCAGCTACGCAGAGCCCGGGCCGGCTGCAGCTGGGAGCCTGCAAACAGCTAGGTCAGGCTCCACAGCCTGGCACAAATTCTGTGGCAGCGGCAACCGCATGCACGGCTGTGGGCGAATGGCCAGGAAGGGGCCAGGGCACCGCAACTCCTGCCCTTCCCTGCCATCTGCCTGGAGGTGCATGTGCAGCAACTTCCGCTGCAGAACCAGTGCTGGGCCACAGAGCCTTGTGCAGCTGTTTGCAGGCTCCTGGCTGCCGCAGCAGGTGGCAGGCAGGCTACAGACAGCTGTGCAGGGCTCCACAGCCCTGGCACTTACTAATTCATGACCATCTGTCTTGATTTCTCTATAATTTCTTATAATTTAAATAACTTGGGAAAGTATCCTTCATCAAGCATTTGCATAGAAATACAGTTTCATCATTCTGGAGTTCAGCATGCACACCATTCAGTACTATTTTTATTAGGCAACATAAATATGAATAGAATTGTATAGCCTACAGTGAAATAACCCAGAAATTCACCTCATTTTAATGCATATACTTTGAAACTTGTCTGAAATTTTGTTTTCTAGTAAGAAAAAAAATATTGTAACAAAACTTCTTCTGGCGATATGCATTATAATAGAACCAGTAACTGAAAGTTAGTCATACAAGCTTGAATTAGGAATAAGGCATGGATTACTAACAGTAAGGTTATCTGATTTCTGATGCGAACTCCCAAAGGAGGTAGGGGATTCTCTGTTTCTCAGTTTTTTCACATAAAGGCTTAATGGATGCATCTACATGAGGCGTTTACTGCAAAGCTGATTAGTTAGCTACACAGTAAAGTCACAGCGTCTACACGTGCAGCCCTATTAGACCGCAGTAAACTAATAAACGATGCCATAGGATAGTACTTGTAAATACAAGTACTATCCTTTGGCGGCATTATTTAGTGTGCCACAGCGCATGTGTAGAAGCTAACAGGGCTGGCTAGGGCACAAGGGTGCTTCAGTGCAGGGCTGCTTGCTGGTGAGCCTCGCACTGAAGCACTCTCATGTCCCAGCCTGCCCCTTTGCAGCACATTAAGCCAGGTTGGAGCAACCCTGGTCCTGGCAGGCTGACCCCCTGGGCTCTCTGCCAGCTGGGGCTACTCTGACCCTGATCAGTGTGCTGTGGTCCTGGGCACGCATGGAAATGTGATGTCCAGGACTAATAAACTCTGGTGTGAACTTCATGAGAGTTGATTCAGGCATGTTAATTTCACATGTAGATGCCCCTATTGTTTTCCCTGGAAAATGCTTTTGTCAGACACAAGATACCCCTCCATGCAGGGGTAGTTGGGTGTAATTTTATGGCCAGTGTTATAGAAAACATTAGGTTAGAAGATGCCAAGGTTCCTTTTTTTGACCTTAAAAATATATGAATGTTTTACACCATTGCTGGATGTTTGGATCATTTTTTTTTTTTTTTGTATTTTTTCCCTGATAGTTAGCATCTGGAATTTATAGCTTTGCATGTTCCCTGTGGAATCACCACACAGATACATTCCTACAACAGATCTGTACTGGAGATGAAACTGCAGCAACTAATTCATTAGAAAGAACTCTGCTGTCATTGAAAGGTAATAATTAAAATTAATGGTATTGCATATTTATGTTAATATAGTATAAAAGATTAAATATGTGTCGTAAGTGTGACATTTGTATATTCCTACTATTGTAATAAGACATCTCTGCCACCAAGAGCCTTAAAATCTTCCACCAGAACCATATAATTGGTACCTCAATGGTCCCATTTTCTTTCTACTTTCTTGATGTAACTGTGAGGTGGTCCACATAGGAAAATAAAACTTTGCTTTCTATATTTGTAGTCATTTTTTGGCCAAGCTTATTTGAAGTTGTTTAAATATTTTTAATAGCTTAATGTTGCTGCGTTATTTATTTTAGAGCTGAGCTCATTTCTGTTTGGTGCTGAAAGTGTGGTGACACTAGTCTTAATTTGTGTTTTGAAATATGAAATTTGTACCTATTTGAATTTCTTCATTACATGTAGTCTGAAACAGACTATTGAAAGAAAATCTTTCAATAGGATATAGTGTTCTGGAATTGCTGGTAATACCCTGGAGAACCATCCAGAAACATTTTTGTTTAAGATAAGGGTACTCTTGACATAGTGGGGGTCAGGGACTTTTGAAGTGAATTTTCTTTGTTTTTTATTTTTTTAAATAGCCCTTTGTGGTTTCTGGTGCAACTGGAACTTCTGTATAATTGTAGTGAAGTTTGAGTAATGGTAAATACAATTAATTCTATACTTGAAGAATTAGATGAATCTCTTGAATTGGTTATTGTAATTGTGTGTTTAATTATTTGATACATTTGTGGGTGGAGGATGAAAAATAGACTAAGCAAACGACATATTACTGTATTTTCCAGTTCTTCGGAAATTGACAGTTCATGGCTTTGTGGAACCTCATCGAAATGCGGAAGTGATGGTAAGCTATGAACATCTATTTTTTGTACACCAAAATTTTTTCCAACAGTAATTCTGGGCCTTTCTGGAATTCCACATGATTCAAGAGAGAGGTTAAACATGTAAGCTGGCATACATCATTATACTGTGAATAGAATAATTGAGACCTAACCCTGATGAATACCACCCAAAATGCATAATTGCGTCTAAAGAAATGCTGTAATGACTGAAGGGGATATAGTGGGAAAAATCTGGAAATATACAGAATGGATTAGGATGGTTGTTAAGAATTTTGTGTCAGGCTTACTCTGTGTAAGTAAGATATACAAGCATAACAAGATTTGTTTTGAGCCATCTTAGGATATAAAAAACCCATTCATTTTAGCTGCTTGAAAGGGGGGGGAGGGGAAGCTGCTACTTGGGGACATACAGGAGTTATTATTATCTAACTGGTAGGTCTGCCTGATTCTATAGCATTGCAAGTTAATTAAATCGCTCTAACCCTGCTTCCTTCAGGATCATAGTTGGAGTTGTAACAGTTTAATTACACTTGTATTGCTACAACAAAGATGTAGCAGCTGAATGGTAACATATCCTTGTATCTTGAGGAAAGGAAGGATGTAGAGCAGCAGAGTAAGGGCTCTGGACTTCAGAAAAGCAGACTTTGACTGTCTTAGGGAACTCATGGGCAGGATCACCTGGGAAGAAGAGTCCAAGAGAGCTGGCTGTACTTGAAAGAAGCCTTACTGAGAGTGCAGAAACAAACCATCCCAATGTGCAGGAAGACTAGCCAGTATGGCAGAAAACCTGTTTGGCTTAGCAGGGAGCTCTTCAATAACCTAGGTCACAAAAAGAAAGCTTATAGTAGGTGGAAACTTGGACAAATAACTAGGGGAGGAAAATAAGAACGTTGCTCAGGCATGCAGGGATGAAGTCAGGAAGGCCAAAACACAATTGGAGTTGCAGCTAGCAAGGGACATGGGGAGGGTTTCTGCAAGTATGTTGGTAGCAAGAGAAGAATCGAGGAAAGTGTGGTTCCTTTACTGAATGGGGGAGGCAATCTTGTGACAGAGGCTACAGAAAAGGCTGAAGTGCTCAATGCTTTCTTCACCCCGTCTTCACAAGTAAGGTCAGCTGCCAGACTACTGCACCAGACAGCATGCCTTGAGGAGGAGGTAAGCAGCCAACCGTGGTGAAAGAACAGGTTAGGGTCTATTTTAGAAAAGTTGGACATGCACAAGTCTATGGGGCCAAATGGGTGCTGAGGGAGTTGGCTGATGAGATTGCAGAACCACTGGCCATCACCTTTGAAAACTCATGGTGATCAGAAGAGGCCCTGTATGTTTGGAAAAGGGCAAACATGGTGCCATAATTAAGAAAGGGAAAAAGGTGGATCCAGGGGCCTACAAACCAGTCAGCCTCACCTCAGTCTCTGGAAAAATCATGGAACAGATTGTCAAAGAATTCATTTCTAAGCATTTGAAGGAGAAGAAGGCGATTAGGAACACTCATCAAGATTAAGGGCAAGCCATGTCTGACCAACCTGATTGTTTTTTATGATGAGGTGACTGGATCTGTGGCTGTGGGGAGACCAGGAAATGTGGCTGATCTTGATTTTAGCAAGGCTTTTGATATGGTCTCCAACATTCTTGCAGGCCAGCTAAGGAAGTATGGGCTGGATGAATATACTGTAAGCTGGATAGAAAATTGGCTGGAGCATCGGACTCGGAGAGTAGTAATCAATGGCTCAATGTCTGGTTGGCAGTTGGTATCAAGTGGAGTGCCTCAGGGATTGGTCCTGGGGCTGGTTTTGTTCAACATCTTCATCAACGACCTGGAAGATGGCATAATGTGCACCCTCAGCAAGTTTGCAAATGATGCCAAGCCGGGGAGAGTAGTAGATATGTTGGGGGGTAGGGCTAGGATTCAGAGTGACCTAGACAATTTGAAGGATTGGGCCAAGAGAAATCTCATGAGGTTCAACAAGGACAAGTGCAAAGTCCTGCACTTAGGACAGAACAATCCCATGCATCAGTCCAGGCTGGGGGCTGACTGGCTGGGCAGCAGCTGTGCAGAAAAGGACTGGGGGGTTACAGTGAACAGCAAGCTCAATATGAGCCAAAAGTGTGCTTTTGTTGCAAAGAAGGCTAAGAGCGTCCTAGGTTGCATCAGTAGGTGTGTTGCCACCAAGTCAAGGGAAGTGATCATTCCCTTCTATTCAGCACTGGTGAGGCCACATCTGGAGTACTGCATTCAGTTTTGGGCCCCCCAGTACAGAAAGGATGTGGAAAAATTGGAGAGAGTCCAGCAGAGGGCAACAAAAATGGTGAGGGGCTGGGGGACATGACTTATGAGGAAAGACTGAGGGAACTGGGCTTATTTAGTTTTAAAGAAGAGAAGACTGAGGAGGAATTTTAATAGCAGCCCTCAACTACTTAAAGGGGCGGGGTTCCAAAGAGGATGGAACTAGACTGTTTTCAGTGGTGGCAGATGACAGAACAAGGAACAACGGGCTCAAGTTTGTAGCTAGAGTAGAGGTTAGATATTATGAAGAATTTTCTCACTAGAAGTGTAGTAAAACCCTGGAACAGGTTACCCAGAGAGGTAGTGGAATCTCTATTGGAAGTTGGACTTCCAAGACAAAGCTTTGGCTGGGATGATCTAGTTGGGGATGGTCCTGTTTGAGCAGGTGGTTGGACTAGATGACCTCCTGAGGTCCCTTCCAACCCTAATTGTCTATGATTCTGTGTCCTGCAATTAGTGATACAGTCATGTCTGTCTATACCCACAGTTGTACTGGTGCAAACCCCTTGGTAGCCATTCTTGTTTTGATGTAAAATCAATTTAAGAGCCCGTAAAAGGGCTGTATTGTAGCTACTTTGGCCATGGCAGTAGCCATGGCCAGGCTGGAACACTAGCCTGCATCATAAGGAAGTGAGAATTCTCTTTTCATTGCATCTTAAAATCTAGTTTCAGAAATCAGTTTTAAGCGTAACAAGTGTTATACAAGTGCATGTTTGAGTTTGATTTACTATTGTCAGTTTTTTCACAAGTGATATATGGGAAAACAGTGATTTAAATCTTACCACATTTCAGGACAGTACTTCTAGCTCTGAGGCTGAGCTGCTAGAAGACAAAATCACATTCTTCTGCTTAGCTTCCTTTGAATTTATTCCAACATTGTTTTAATTTCTTTCATTCTGAAGTTTTACATGTCTTAGAAATCCAGGCATTTTCTACCACTCAAAAGTTTTTAGTGCATTAGCTTTCTGGATGAGGGTAAATACTATCAGTTTTTGTTAAAAAGCATTATATTTTTATTTGTTTAGAAAAAGTCAAATTGTGAATTAAAACAAAAATCAAAAGTAGTACTTAAAAATGAAGTCTAAATTTTTATTTTTAAATATACTTAATTTTTACTAATGGTCATTAAGTTAATATTAAATCAGGGAAAGCTTTTTACCAGTGCCTTTGAACAGACTCTGAGTTTGACAGATTTTTAATGAAACTATAGTTTTTTCCTCCCCTTATGTAGCTCAAAGTCAACTTCACTTAAAAATAAATGTACCCTTAATATTTTTCAGGGATTTCTGCTTGGTGTATTTGAACGACTAAGACAATTTCTGGAGTGTAGTAAGTAACTGTAGTGCACTGTCCTCTTTTTATGTTGTGTATTAAAGATTGGGTGGAATCTTTCAATATAACTAAACAGATATATGGTGCATAAATCATTTTGACATTTTTTCATGTATATAATATTATCCAAAAAAGCTGTACAGAACAGACTTTCTAAAATATTTCATGCTTTAGATTTTGATGCTCAAATAACTAAAATTTATCTTTAAAAAAACAGCAGATTTCAGAGTCAAATCCAGATTGGTAAACAAAGTACCTAAATGGAACTTGGGTACAATTTATTTGTAAAAAAGAAACGTCTCACATAAGCCATAGAATAAAAAGGCACAGACAGATGTTTCTTTTCACATTGATAAAAGACTTGTAGAGGATGAATTTTGGCAAATGTAAAAGGGAAGAGACTTATGTATGCTGCTTTTGACTCTATCGTGAAACAGTTTTAAGCTTTAAAATATCACCTATTATGACAGAAGAAAGTTTTATTGTATCAGTGGTACCTCTAGTTCAATATCTCTTTTCTCAGAATATATGATCCCAGATACTCTAGTGTAGAGCAGGGGTCAGTGACATAAGACCTGTAGACTGGATCTGGCCTGTAGAGCCAGGTGTCTTTGGTAGAATGCTGAAGCTGGAGTCCTGTGCCCATGCTGCAGAGGAGATTGGGGAGAAGCCATGGTAGGGAAAAGCTGTTGCTGCCATGGCAGTGGTTAAGCATAGGTTAGTGCATCCCAGCTGAGTAAGATATATGCTAGTGCCCATTGAATACAGTCCCTCTCAGCACTGACTCTTGAAGTCATGGTGAGTCACTATATTGAATACATTTGGGCTTCCTCTTCACTCCCACAGTTGCTCTGTACCTGTCTTTCTCACTTCCAATGAGTCTCATTTCTTTGCTAACCTTAAATGTCTGTCAGACGCCATAAAACATCCATGTAGGTGAGCAGCTCTGTCTCCCCCTCTCTTTGCCTGTCTTATATGATTAGTTTTGCCCCACTCTGAGAGAGAGCTGAATCAGGTAGCCCTGTGCCTCATCTGCATATAAATTTTTGGAGGATCCCAGGACTTGTGATAAAAACACCTGTTTCCAGTCATTAGTGGGTTGGGCTAATTAGCACATGGATTCTTTGTGGTGGGTATCTGGAATACACACATATAATAAGCAGTGCTGAGCTATGGGATCACCATGGTTTGAAATGCTGTTGACTCTGGTGGGGGCCCAGCCAGATGAACTATATGGAAACTCATGAGCTTTTTTGCTTTGGACTAATATGCATAATTTGTGCTATATATAAGTAGAAACAAATGTGCTGCTTAAAAGTGTGTTTATGGATTACCTGTATTAAAACTTGATGCTTTTTTGAAACAGCTGCAGTGTATCAATTCTGGATGAACTAAGTCTATGGGTACCTGTAATATTTTGCCTGTATGCAAATTACTACAGGTATTTTTATTTCAAGATCTCTGTTTTCAAATTTGCCTCTTGCTTCCATGCAGTCAGGGAGAGCAGGGTCTGACAGTAAGGAGTGGGGAAGGGTTTGCAGGGGGCAGTTGGAGGGGGCAAAGGCCAAGGTGGGTCTTTGCCCAGATGTATTTTCCTTGCTGTAGCAGTGGGAGGGGGGCAAATTCAAGGCAAACATGCAATAAGATTCTATACCTGGAAAATTAGAACTAATGTATACATTTTCCATATATAGAATATAATTATTGAGAGGGGTTATCTTATATTCAGGATCATCTTATATATGAGTAAATACGGTATATCCTCTTTAGTGTTTGAAATCAATAATAGCTTGCAGCAGTGAGTTTCATAGATTAATTATGGATGGTAGACATTTTTAATATAAAAACTTTGTTACTCATTTTATGTTTTTGTTGTCTTTGATTTCACTTACTGATCTCATTCTTACATTAGTACAAGAAGGTAAATAAGTAGAATTTATTTTCTGTTTGCCAAAGATACTGCTTGCAGTGTTTTAGCATATATTTCCATTTTGAGGGCTTTTTCACTGGGTTGCCCATAGTGATGACCAAAGTTTTCCATATTAATTTAGAAGCAGTTGTGTCTATGGGAAATTTAAATGATCTATTTCAGTATTTATAACTAATTACCCTACGTTAGTTTTTTTCAAATGCAGTAGTCTTGAAAGAAAGCAAAGATCAAAACTTTGTTTGTCATTGATTTTCTGTGTTTTACCAGGCAGACGTATAGGAACAGAAAAGCTATGCAGAGATCGTCTAGAAAAGACTATTATTCTGTTCACTAAAGTGGTAGGTATCAAGTTTGCAGTTAGCTACTAGAATAATTTAATCCATGGTAAATTCATATATTTTATATATTCTAAAGGTGCAGCAACTGTAGTTAATAGCTTCACTGTTGCAAAATACATTTTTTAAAACTTTCATTCTGAAAAAGTGTTTGTTGATTTTGTTCATGTTGACAGTAAGGATTGTCGTTTAACGTAAGGTATTCTTCTTCCTCTCAAGTAAAATTAAGTGCACTTGAGAAGTAAAACTGTGCCTGGTGTTTTGAAATCTGTTATTGGCAGGTACCTGTCTTCAAAATGAATTGCAATTTTGGGACTAATGATGAAGGCTAGTGTGAAACAAACCCCCCACCACTACGCTGCTTTCTCAGGCATTTTGACTCACTTTGGGGGGTATGGTGACTGTATTGAACAAATGATTACTTGTGATTAGTTTATTTAAAAATAAAAACACTAGAATTTTTAATTGCTATTTTTTTAAGCAGTCAACAAATTCTGCCCAAGAGTTGCATATTTATACCAAAGGAGATATTTACATACCATTCTACTTTTTCATTTGAACCAACAATTGGAAAGCTTAGCGAGTATTCTCAAGAACATTCTTCTTTGCTTCTTAATGAGTATCACAAAAATAAATGCATTCTTTTCACATGCTTGCTATTCATGACAGTTTATATAGATGCAAGCTTCTTGTCTCTCAGTGTCCATATGTGACTTAGCTATTTCACTAAATTTTGAAGGAGCAAAAGAATTCTAGGGTAATGGTCAGAAAGCTATGTTTTGTAGAAACTATAGAACCCAAAGCTTCAAGGAAAAAAACATCATCTAACAGTGATATAGGCAAGTGGAGAATGTGTGACAATATACCACGACCCTAGAAAATTAGCATCTCCTCTCTTTCTTTTGCTCTCCTGTGATATTTAGCTCTGAACAAGCTTATTAAGAGACACTGAGTGGAAGTCTAATTTTGTGCTAAGATTGAGTTTTTTAAGGGCATTTAGATTGTAGCAATATAGATGAGGCAAGACTTGGGGGAAGGTTCTTAACTTTCACTACTCAAGCAAACAGTGTAGCTTCTGTTGTGTTATAAACCATTTCAGAGCAGAGAGAAATTACAGTCATGGGCTTCTGTCACCCTTTTATTAATAGATTCAGCTTTTGGGCCATGCCAAAGAGAAACAAAACTAATTTAAAAAAGTTTTTAGCTTGGTGAAGATATTTTTAAATATATATAGTTCAAAATAATTCTATAGCTGATCACTAAAATTTAAAGGATCAAAAACTTGGGCTGGAGTGGGAGAAAGTAATAAGACTTTCCAAAACATTATTTTTTACTGAAAATAATTAACTTATAATAGAGATGTATATCAGAGGATCAGCTCTAATCCTTTCCAAACTCTTGCACATAATGGGCACGTCCAGACAAGTGTGCGTGTGCCTCTTGCAACATCCCAAACCAGTTTGAGACACTCCAAGAGGCACGCTAGGAACAAAAAAAATGTTCCCCGCTCTGCATATTTGCTGCATATTTGCAGCGCGGGGTCAAAATTTGATACCTGACAATCCAGGTATCAAAAAATACCCTGGGGGGGGAGAAAAGCGGGGCAACTGCCCTGAGGCCCTGAGCAGCCCTGACAGCCACTACTGGTGCCAGTGAGTACGAGGGGTAGGGACTGGGGCTGAGCGGTAGAGGCGGGTGGGGCTGGTGCGGGGCAGGGAGCATGTGGGTCCTGCAAGGGGGGCAGTAGCACCCCTGTTGTTGGGCTGTGGGCTCCTGTTGGGGAATTTTGGCCCCTGTGGGGGTGGGGCTGTGGCCACTGTGGGGGGCAGTCTGTGAGCTGTGTGGGAGCGGGGCTGTGAGTTAAGTAACTTTTTTGCTTTGATTTTTTTTAACAGCTTTTGGACTTCTTGGACCAACATCCTTTTTCATTCACCCCTCTGATTCAGAGATCATTGGAGTTTGCTGTAAGCTATGTTTTCACAGAGGCTGGTGAAGGAGTTGTATTTGAGCGTTTCATTGTCCAGTGTATGAATCTCATTAAGATGATTGTAAAAAACTATGCGTACAAGCCATCAAAAAATTTTGAAGGTACTACTGCTTTTTACTCAGCAAACTTTCTAATCCTTAAGACTTGCTAGCTGTGACCCAACACTAAACCCAGACATTTTAAAAAAGTTTCAAATCCTTAATACCACAATAGCTAACATTATTATATGTTATTTTGCCTGTGGAAATGATACTGTTTTGGGACAGGTTCCCCCAAGTGCTACATAAATAGCATTTTGTAGTTGTAGGCAAGCATTGATCCTTTGGATCATGGTATAAACGTAAGAGTTCTGGTTAGATGCCTGATGAATCCGTTTGTGGCTGATAAGCCCAATTGGAGAGCAACACAGATTGTTTTAAGTTTCACAGATCCATGTGTTTTCTGAGTTGGAGTCCAAGTTTACATCATGTTGCTTTCTTTCCTTCTGTGCTTCCATCCTCTGGATGATTTAAACATATAAGAAATAAGCAACAAAATATTTTCCCATATAGAAATACAGTGAAAATTAATGCTTTGGCTTTTTGTAAACCTCATAGGATAAGGAATCCTCATTCAGGTCCAGAGCCTGGTTAATTTTAAAATTATCAAGTAGGAGGTGCTTGTTGCATTTTCTGGGAAGATGTATGATAAAAGAGCTTTCACTGTATGCTATAATTGACAGCAGATCTGATTGAGAGAAAGACAAAGTAAAAGTTTTGGGAAATCTCTTGAGTTCATTAAAGTTTCTCAGTTTTAGCACTGCATGACCGTTTCACAACATGCTGGCTCTAGGTAAAAATCGTTTATTCCAATAGGTAGGTAATTAACATGTGTTTCACACTAGGGAATACAATCTTTGAATAGTACTTACTACACTTCAGTTTTAACTTTAGTATTGCAACTGAATAGTTACTAGAATTAGCTGAGTCCTGGAACTTAGCATTTCATTTTCTTTTCCAATTTAAAATAATTTTAAGAGGTTCAAAGATTTGTTTTAACATCCAATGATGATTTAATTAAATTACACAAATCCAATATTTAATGCTTAGAAGGATGGTCTGTAGATTTTCAGTAGTCACTGAGTAATTTTTTGGGTATTGTAGTATTGGTAAAATCATCTGCATAGACTATTTACAGAATTATCTGTTATGGCAATGCAGCTTGCAGTTTCAAAATTATGTTTAAATTGAACTTTTGGACTTAAATCTGAAATGTAAACACATGTATGAAGAATACAATGTATCGTACTATAATTTGCAATACTCTTTGGGGGACAGAGTGAATTTTGTGAGAATGTACAAGTCTATTAATTATTTTGAGTTAAAATTAATTATAAATGGAGCCTTGGAGACATTTAAAACTTTGTCTCAAACCTTTTTATGTCATGAACAACCTTAATAATGAAGGAACATCTAACTTCTCTTGTAATTAATACTCACTGAAATCTTCAGTGTTAATATAGTTCAGGACTTTTTTAGGCTTTGTTCTTCTTTTCGGTTTTGTTCTTTATACCTGCAAATTTCATTTTCAGTCTTTCTCAATATTGAATTCTCAATTTTTAGAGAATTCCCCAAAGAAAATGTCCAAAATAGCTTCCCTTATTGCTCTCACAAATGATGAAGCTACAAGTATTAAGTAAAAATCTATATAGAATATTACATATTACTGCTAGCAGAAATGACATGTTTTAATATGGCTACCTTTTTATATTTTGTGTTAAGCAAGCCAGGTTGGTTCAGGAAATAATTTAGCTCCTAACAAGAAAGAAAGCCACCATGTTTTCTTGAGGACAGATACTTTCATAGATACATAGATGCTAGGGTCGGAAGGGACCTCAATAGATCATTGAGTCTGACCCCCTGCCTAGGCAGGAAA